TGCGCTCCTCCCCCGAGAGGGACTCACTGAGGCTGCCCTCCTGCTCGGACATGCTGGTTGGGACAACAATCCCTGTGCTCGCACAGCCCCCGTGTCCCCAAGGCTGGTTTCCCAGCCGCACCGCCACACTGCGCCCCATCCCCGCAGGGATGGCGCCATGTCCCTTGGGTTTCGTCCCCAGCCTCAGGTGGGGAGCAGCATACCCAGTAAACCCTCCCAGCTGGGTGCCTGTAGGCTGGCAGGGCAGTTAATGCCATCCCAAATGCCACCTCCTCCCCTTAGCCCAAGGTGCGAGCAGCCGGAGCTGTGCAAGCGGCGGCGGCCCGAGCCCGTCCAGCAAAGCCGTGAGGCCGCCGCTTGTGCCCTCGCTGCCCCTCTCCCGCCACGAGGGCCAGCACTGCCGGCTCTCCTCTCCCAGGCCTGAGCCCTGCTGTGGCCCCCACTCTGCCCCCCTGGTGCTCCCCAGCTGGGGACATGCGGCCACCACCGCAACGGTGCGGTGCCCGCCAGCTCCTCACCTCAGCAGCAGGACAATCAGTGCTCTTTGGGATTGCAGCAATCAGTCTGCGCCGCACCACACTGGACTTTATACTGCCCTCAAAGCACGTCACCCACCCCCTCCCAAACAGCCTTGCTCCTTCCACGACTCGCCAAGTAAACACCGCAGGTGTGTCCAGCCTGGCTCACACCCACCCGCATCCACCACCGCGGCTAAGCATCCCCCGGGGCCAGCCCCGGGGCTACTGCAGCACCGCGGCACGGCCAGCCCCCCAGGCTGGTCCCCGGGGAGATGTCTGGTCCCCGTGGCCCCACTCCCCTGCTGTGAGCATCCTCCCCGCTGCATTCCTTGCAAGCCAGGCACATGCACCGCGGCGGAGCCCTGCTCTCCACCCGGAGGATGACTCTGAATACCCCCAGCTCTTGGAGCACCTTGATCTGGTGCTTCAGGCTGCCGGCTGATTTACCAGCCAATACCCAATACCCAGATTCAATGTGTAAAAGTGCAGCCGGGAAAAGGCAAACAGCCTGTCAACGATTAACTCGGCTGGCCCGCTTCAAGGTCCCGCTGCCCAGCACTCCGTGCGGGACATGGCCACCCTGCCGCTCATCCTGGGCCCCGGGGCCGGGCTGCGGGAGCCTGCACGCCATCCCTCGCATGAGGGTGACCGTGGTGCCGGTGTCTCCCGCATGGGGACGGCAGGGTGGCACTGTGGAGCGGCTGGGGCCGCAGCGGGGCGGGGGTCGGTGGGCAAAGAGATACCGGAGGTGGCCGGTGGTGCAGGGCTGGTTGGGGCCATCAGGGCCACAGTCCCAGTCTCTGATAAACTGCCACACCTGAGTCAGCAGCGCCGGCGAGGAGCGGCACCGCCCGGGTCCCGCACCCTGGACGTGTCCTGGGGGTCAGCGGAGGGTAGACTGCGGGAGCAAGGGGCTATAGTGGGGCCAGGCTGGCGCGATCAGGCTGGGTGGGGGTCACTGGGGGCGATCAAGAGGAGGGCAGACTGGTGAGCACTGGGGTGGGCTGAGCTAAGTGGGACGAAGCACAGTGGGAGATTGGGGTTGGGAGAGGGGTCCCGGGGAGGCAGTCTAGGGGTCTTGCTGGAGGTCACTGGGATTACTGGGAGCCAGGATAGGGGTACTGGGGATTACTGGAAGCCAGGACAGGGGTGGCTGGGGATTACTGGGAGCCAGCCTAGGGGTCCTGGAGGGCCCTGGGAGCCAGGCGGGAGGTCACTGGGGATTACTGGGAACCAGGCGAGGGGTGACTGGGGAGCGCTGGGAGCCAGGATAGGGGTGACTGGGGAGCGCTGGGAGCCAGGATAGGGGTGGCTGGGGGGCGGTGGGAGCCAGGATAGAAAGAGGAGGAGGAACTCGGGGCGTTGCTGTCCAGCACGGTGCCCGCCCGCTGTCCTTGCAGGGAGTTGCTGGGAGGAGCAGAGGTCCCAGGGGTGGGCGGGAGCGCGGGCAGCCCCCTGGCAGCAGGTTAAACTGCAAAAGCCATCGGTGAAGGACGGGCTGTACCAAACAGCCGTGGCCGGCGCTGCCTCCAGTACTCAGAAAACTGCCCCGCCCGCCACCACGTGGGCCAGAAATGGGCTCCTTGTTAATGACGCTAATTGTGGAGTTAATTGGTGTCTTAAGTTGCAGCGGAAGAGTTCAAAGACGTGGGCAGTGTAACGCAGATAAGCTGATGAGACGGGCAGGACTGAGTCAGCGTGCGGATGGTGCGACTGAGGTGACGCAGCTACTGGCATTCTGCTAGGGTCAGAGAACTCGCAGTCCAGCAGTCTGTATGGGTACGATGGACGAAATCAAGCTTGAACCACCACTGAAACATCTCCACTGTCAGGAGGGCTGCAGTGGAGACTTCCAGAGTCTCCTTTCCCCGGCCATTCTGCTCCAGGCAGGGCTGGCCCTGTGAATGGCTCAGCCTTGTCACTGGATGGCCACTGCAGTGCAGGGGCTGCTGGGTTCCAGGCTTGGACTGGCAGCAGGACAGGCATCCCTGGATCCAGGCTGCTGTTCTCAGAGAGACAAAACCCTCTGGTCTGAGTCAACTGCCAGGAAGGTCACTGGCAGTGGGTGAGCACAGAAATCCTTTGTGCTGCTGCAGCACAGGGCAGAGGGGGTTGCAGCCTAAGACTTAACAGCTTGTTCCGCCTGCCTGTGAGTCTGCTCTCCTGTGTCCTGGGTGCATCAGAGGTGTGGGGAACAGGACCAGGGCACTATCCCAGTGATGCTTCTGTGAAGAGCAGCATCCCTGCCCTCCTCCTGGCTGTGACTCCTCATGCAGCCAGAGGCCACCCACAGGTCACTCACTCCCTCCCATGCCAGGGACACCTTTGCAGTTGAGTTCCCTTATGGCTCTCCTTGCCAACAGCCCTAAACATGTCCCCTGAAGCAGAGGATATCCCACAGCTGTCACGCAGATGTAAACTGTTCATGCCCTCTGGGATACAGTGTCCCTTGAGCTTTGCCAGGTCTCCAAAGGAAAACTGTTGATGGTCAAGGACACCCTGGACAGATGGCAGCCTCAGGAGTTTTGCAAAGGCAGTAGCATAATAGCAGTGGGTTGTCTGTCACCAGCTTGCCTTGGGGTCCTAGCTGGGTTGGCCATGCTGGCACATGTGGCAGCGTGCAGCTGGGGCTGTGCAAGGATGAGAAGAGGGGACAGAAGGGCAGGGTAATCCCCTAATCTGAGGCAGAAAGCCATCACCCCTTCAAGGGGGCACTAGGCACCCTGTGGGGTGCCACAATGGGCAGCACCAGGGCTTTTAGGGGGGTCCAGGACAGGGTCTGGAGCACGGTGGTGGACAGGCTGACATGTGCCCGTGGCACTGGAACTGCAAAAGTCCCCCGTGGGGAGAAGGGCAGAGCCCCACACTCAGCTTCCTGCGCAGCCTGTCCCCCTGCCTGCCCCGGCTCCCCTGGCTCGGGGCCTCGGCCCTGGCTCCAGTATCTGCACGCTGCCTGGAGGCAATTCACCCCCCCACTCCGCTCCTGGTTTCCATGGCAACTCCAGTTGAAATTACATTAAAAAGAAATGAAACCAGCAGCTTTTCTCTTTGGCAAATAGGGGGAGGGGAGCTCAGCTGGGAAAGGCTGGGGAAGGGGTTTGAAGTTGGGAGGGAGGGGGCTGTGGGACAGATGCATTCCCACATGGGATCCCAGTGCTGGGGGCAGCAGGGCTGGGGGGATGTGGGGACACACATGGTGTTGGCAGTCCTGGATGGTGTGGTGCCAGCTTGCATGTGGGGGTCCAGCACCCTGACATGGTGGGTGATACCAGGGTCCTCCTGCTGTGTGCCTCTGGGGGGGTTTGCCAGGGACATGAGGCCCAGCAGAGCGCACCCCACCCAGCCCGGTGGTCCCCGGGCCCTGCATGCTCCAAGAAGAGGCGAGACACACCGCTATTAAAAATATCACTTCTGTTTTATTTGGAATTTGTTACTCTGCGCGGGTGACAGGGTATAAATACATTCTCCAACGAGCATCCTCACCCTCAGCCCTGCGCGGGGAGGGGCCGGGGCGGGGCGCAGGGCTGTTGCTGTGCTGGCCCCGGGCCGCAGGGCCAGCAGGGCCGTCGATGCGCTGGCCCCGGGCCGCAGGGCCAGCCGGCACCGGTGCGTCACGGCCGCCAGCACGGGCAGCGTCTGCCAGCCGGACCGTCTTGCACAGGGACAAGATATGGTGTCCCCACAAGGACCTGTCCCTTTCTCCTGCCTCCCCAGGCCCCAGGTGCTAGTGCTCACCCTGGGGGCTGAGACTGGGGTACCCACGTAGGATCCCCTGCAGCTCCTTCTCCATGCCCGACCACACCAAAGCCACTTGCCTAGAGCCACGTGTGGCTCGGTGGCCACAGCAGATGCCCCAGCCCCAGCACACGTGCTCCCAGCCCCACACAGGCTGCATCACCCCCACAGTCCCTACCCAGGCATCTGTTCCAGCTGCACATCCTGGATGCCGGAGCTGGGGTCACCCCAGGATAGGGTGAGGGCCCCAGTGGAAGCAACCTAGGAGGCAGAGTTGATGCTGGTGAGCAGCTCACCCTGCTCCTGTCACCCCACTCCTGCCACAGGCTGCAAACCACTGGCTCTGCTTTTGGGCAACAAGCATGGGCAGGGAGGGCACAGCACAGCCCTGGGGCAGTGGTGAAGGGATGTGGGATGCTCCTGGGGGAGCAGGGCAGGGTGGGGAGCATGAGGGGCTGTCCTGGGTTCATGGGAGTGAACAGACAGTGCTCGGAGCAGGTGATGCCCACACGGGGCGGTGGGTGGCACTGGCCAGTGTGGCAGTGAGGGACCGGGGCGGGGGTGCTCGCAGGCAGGCCGTTGGATAGGCTTTTTGGCTGAGATACGTGGGCACGGGTGACAGAGGAGGGAGAATATCAAAAAATACAAAAGAGCGCAGCCCCACAGTGCAGGAGGCACTGCCCTGCCTGGTGCCCACCCACGGCAGGCGGGCGCCATGGGGGGCCGGCACCGTGCGCACACGCTGGCTTCTAACTGGCTTTTTATTTTATATCAAGAACACTTGGTTTTAAAATCTTTACAAAGGACAAAACGCGGCGACTCCGTTAGTGTGTAAAGAACTAAAGATCTGCTTAAAAAACGTCTCTGCAAAGAGAAATGACTGACACAAAAGAGATTCTCTGCAGCGCAAAGAGGGGCAGAGGTGCCAAGTCTCCAGCTCAGGGCCCCATTCCCAGGGTCCCTGAGCCCCGGCACCAGCCCCAGCGCCCGCACCCAGCACAAGGCCAGGTCCCTGGACTCTGCCCGTTCCCTCTGCCTATAGCACCATGGCCTGGGGCCACTTCTCAGCACAGTGAAGGAGCCTTTTCCAGGGCTGCCAAGATGCCTGGGGATGACTGGGCACTGGCTGAGAGGAATGCCCGGTCCCCCTCCTCATCAGTCCCAGGGTGCTCGGTGGGCTCAGCACCGGGGATGTGATCGCCCCACTGGGAGGCACAGCCACGGCACTGGGAACCCCGTGGCCACTGACAGTGGGGTACCCCTGCCCACCTGCACGGGTGGGCTGTGCAGGACTACACCATGTCCCTCCTGCACCCCACTGGCGTCCCGGGGCAACCCACGGGGCCCTGAGGCCAGGAGAGTCAAAGCACTTCTCAAAAGTTAGATAGGAACAAAAGAAAGCGCTGGGGCCACTCTGGGACCCCACAGGTCTCTGGGCTGGGAGCTGCACCGTCCGTGGGCGCTGCCCCTCCGTCCGGGGGCTCCGTGGGCCCCGCCGGTCCCTCTGCCAGTGTCTGCTGCGTGTGTGTGCGTGCGTGCATGCGTGTGCGCCGGCGGCGGGCAGCTATACCCTGGTGGTGGAGTGTGAGTGCGGAAGCCCCGTGCTGTTGAAGCCGGCGGTGAAGGTGTTGTAGGGGTGCAGGGTCTGCAGCCCCACCAGCGAGTTGGGGATCATGGTGATGGTGTTGGGGGTCATAAGCGGGATGTCGTCCGGAGAGCGGCGCAAGGTGAGGGTGTAGTCGGGCAGAGCGGCCAGGCGCAGGGTGTCGTGGGATGGCACAGCTTCGCACTCGTGGTGCCCCTGGCTCACCTGCAAGGAGGGCATCTCCTCATCAGGCGCGTGGGCGATGTCGTTGGAGGCACCGCGCTGGGGGCTGGGCTGCCGGTGCGTGTCCTGCCGGCGCTTGTCCTTGCGGTAGTAGAGGGCTGCGAAGGCCAGCACGTTGAGGAAGAGGAGGGAGGCGCCCACGGCGATGGTGACGCTCAGTTCGGTGGAGTAGTCGCGGGGGCTCTCAAGCAGCGTGCCCGCCTCTTGCTCTGGGCTCCACTTCTCCTTCCCGTTCTCGCTGTTGTAGGCAGGCGAGATGGCGGGGCGCTTGGTGGTCCAGATCTTGCTGTTGGGCCGACGGGTGATGTGGGAGTTCTGTGTGGTGTCGGGTGGTGGCACTTTGGTGGTGGTGGAGGTGTAGTGGAACATATCGTGCAGGTTGTACAGGTGGGGAACCAGGTGCTTCCAGAAAGCCACCTTGGTGGCCCGGTAGTGGTCGCGCACCCGTGGCTTCAGCCCGATGTGCAGGTACAGCTGGTCACGGGGGTTGTACTTGGACCAGGCCACCTCCTCAAACCGGTTGGCCTTGGTGTGGATGAACTTGGTGTCCTGGGGGACAGGCTTGTTGGGGTCCCTGTGAAACACAGGCAGAACAGAACTAGCACTGGGAAAAGCCAAAGAAACAAAGAGGGAGAGCTGAATGCAGAGACAGAAACTGAGGGGACCTTTGCCAGTGGCGGCACAGGTTGGGCTGGTAAAAGGTCTTGAATGACTGGGCAGCACCCAACCCTGGCTCAAGTCTCACCCAAGATAACCAGGGCCAACAAGCCTCCCCACCCCTGCGGCTTGGCTGGGTCCTGTCCAGGCACTGGCCATGATCTAAGCTTCTTGCTTTGTGGTTGACACCATGGCCCCAGTGAAGGTGCAGCACACAGGGACCTCTGGGCACAGGGAGCTCAGTGTCCTACACTGGGCATGATTAACCCCCTCACCACCACAGCACAGCCCCAGGGAGTACAGCTGCAGTGAGTGCAGACCCCCGAGGCACGGCACCCATCCCCACTCACCCTGTCTTGGCAAAGTTGGTCCAGTAGGTCATCACCACAGCGCTGAGCATGACGTCGTTCTTGGAGAAGTTGCAGGGAAAGAGGTCTGTGGGGCCAATCATGGGGATCCCAAACACGTAAGGCACCTCATCCCCGTGGGCTGCATCGGACCATGCAGGCTTCATCAGGCTCTGGCAGTGGTGGTAGAAGGCGTAGAAGTAGGTGGGGGAGCCATAGCGGGCGTGCAGGTCGGCTGTCACCACCGATGGCTCTACCCACTGGTGGTCAGTGAAGAGGGCCACCAGAGTCTTGCGGCGTGTCTCGGGGTTGTCCCGGTCAGCCCAGTCCGTGTACATGAACTTGATGGTCTCCCTCAAGGTGTCCTTGCCCTCAGGGTAGCCATACAGGTTGTCTACAAAGTTGGAGACTGAGTAGTCAAAGTCACTGCCCGAGACGCCGTCCTCAGGGTCCACCACGCCCTCCACAAACTTCAGCCCTTCACCCTGGTTGACCCCCAGCATGATATCATAGTTGAGGAACTCGCCCTGCTCCATCAGGATCTCTGGGTCATCCGGGATCACGTCCCCATCAATGACTGGCCCGAAGGCCACGTGGTAGCGGGCTGGTTGGATGTCTTGCTCTACCAGCTCCTTGGCACTCTTCTGCCGCAGGCAGTCCACCATGTCCACGGTGTCCAGCACATTGCAGCCCACCTTGTCAGCCAGCATGCTGGTGTACTTCACAGGCTGGTAGTTCACTGCCCAGCTGGAGAGTGCGGAGCCGCTCTGGATGATGGCTCTCTGGAAAAGACCTGCAATACAGGCAGGGAGTGGAGGAAGCTCTCAGCAGGGTTCCAGCATCCCAGTGCTGCACTGCAGGATGCAGCATGGAGAAAGCATTGATGCTCTTGTGCCCCTGCAAGGACCCAGCACTCCAGCCCACACCCGGCCTTGTCACTGAGCTGTGCTGCCTGCTGAGCTGGGCTCACACAGCGGGCTCAGCTCAGGGCTGCTGTGGGGATGGCAGGATGACAGCTGGGAATGCAAGTGGGTGCTCCCGGAAGCAACCAAGGGCTGCTGTACTCCCTGAGAATCCCATTGCAGGGGATGACCCAGCATCCCTGTCCTGGTGTGGGGAGAAGAGGGGCCATGGTTGCATCACAGCCTGGCCTTGCCAAGCAGCCTGTGCTACCCCAGCCACCCCAAGGATGAGTTGCCTGGGCCCCTGAGGGGCACACGCTGCCCCTGGCTCGGCAGCATCCTTCAGCCCAGGTTGGCACCTGCTCCACTGAGGAGCCAGGCTGTGGGCTGGCAGCAGTGGGAGGGTTAATGCCTGCTTGGGGACACTTAACCCTGCCGTGTCCCACCCCAGCGCTTTGTCAGAGTCCCCCTCCACCCCCTCCCTACTGCTTCCTGCCCAGCTGGGGCTGCTCAGTGCCAATCCGGCCCTGCAGGAGCACGCTGCCAGATGCACAAAGAGGGCCTTTCTGCCACCAGGAACACAGAGGGAGTGGACTTTCGCCCTGGAAAACGAGGCCACAAAGGCCCTGGCCCAGGCAGAGAAATGCGTGGCTTCGCTCCAGTCCCATGTCAATGGTGCTTGTGCTCAGAATACAAAGGGTGGTGAGGAAGCAGAGCCTCTGGGCCCTGAAAGGCAGCCAGTCCGGGGTGCACCCAGGGGTCCCTGCTCTCCGACCAGCCCTCTTTGCACCCCAAGTGCTGCCTGCTCTCCTGCCAGACCCCAGCACTTGCTTTCCATGAGGGACTGTTCCAGGTGACCCCTGAACGGTGCTGGCACAGCAGTGTGGTGCCCATGGGGCTGCCCCTGGCACCCTGAAATGCAGAGAACCCCTGTGCAACCAAGGCTCTGCCACTCAGAAGGGAAGCAGACCAGCACCTTCCTGCAACAGAAGTGTTCAGAGGCTCCTGGCTCCCAGCCACCATGTCCATAGCCCTTGTCTGCACGCACAGTCCTCACTCTGCCAAGTACCTGACGTACAGTCCCATGCACTGGGACAAAGAGAAGTCACAAGCTCCGTTTGTCACCTCCTGGTGCCCTAGAAAGCCATACCCAGCCTACAGGCTGGAGACTGGCCATGGGTTTGCTTGCTCTGCGCCATCATCCACGTGCCAAGGAGCCAGGATGGGGTTTCCTGGCTCCCTGGAGATGCTGTCCCAGCAGCAGCTATTGCGCCCTGCCAGCAGCATCACTTCCCAGACAGACCCACCAGGCTGGGCTCTGGCCCTGCCCACCACTGCCTGGGGAAGTACAGGGCAGCTGATGTCACTATCAGCTGGTCATGTCCCTGATGGAGCCCCTTTGCCATGTCTCTGCATGGCCACATCCTGGCCCAGGAGGAGCCAGGACTCTGTGAGAGCCCGGACTCGTCAGGTCCTCCCACTCCACACCAGCACCTGACTGAAGCCTGACAAGCACCAGGGGGGCACCAGCACCCTGCACTCCACATTGGACCTCTCCAGCCTGCTGAGGCCCAGAAAGAAGGCGAAGTTCTGCCTTTCCTTCCTGTTCCCCTCCACGGTGAGGGTCCCAACACACCCAGCCTCATGCAGGACTGGCTGCCACAGGATAGTGGAATCAAGTGCTGGGGCCAGGGCTGTGCCAGAAGGTGGCTGGGGATGCAGACTACCACCAGCTGCTGCCAGATCCTGATTTCCTCTTTGCTTTGCCCAGTAGCTGAGACTGGAAACATTTCTGGGGGTGTCTGGGCCAAGCCCTGCTCAAAGCAGGGTGCTGGGTGCTTTGTCCAGTTGAGATCTGGAGGGCTGACTGCAAAGGGCAGAAGCCCCCACGGAGAAGATGGGGCAAATGAAGCACTTAAAGTTTGCCTGGCACAGACTGCTCCTGCCCTGGTATGGCTGGCTGGAGAGAAAAATGGCACTTTGGTCACTGATGAGAAATCAGAGTGACCCTACAAGGCCTGAAGCTGGCAGGGAGCTGTGGATTTCCCCGGCAGCCAACATGTGCTGTACCAAGTCTCCAAGTCTCCAGTGTCTGTCTCTTGCAGCACCTGGTAGAGCAGGCACAAATCAGCAGCTTCATTAATAGCTTGTGATCAGTAGAAGTTTTATTTTGATGCAGTAAAAACAAACCCACCTGTTCTGCAAGCTGCAACTTAGCATTGCTCCAGAGCCAGCTACACATCCCTGGGGATGTGGGTGCTCTGGCACAGGGAATTTTTTGAGGTCATTTTACGGCCGTTTGGCTTTATGAGACACTGGCTGCAGTACTGAGCACTCCCCTCCTGCCTCACAGCATTCACAGCCAGCAGCAGCTCCCCTGCCCCAGCAGCGAGGGCACCCAGCACCTCTGAGTGCAGGGGGGCCACACCAGGGGCACTGGGGCTGCATGGGGCAGCAAAGGATTCGCCATGCAAGTGCAGGGCTTAGTGGCGTTGTGTAGCATCACCTGAGAAGTGCATATACTGGCAGGACTATTTTTCATGGCTGAAAAGCCACAAGGAGCAGCCCTTCCAATCCACCCTCAGCCTCTCTCCATGCTGCTCCAGTCTGGACCCCTGCAAGAGGCTGGGGCCACCTGGGCAGCCAAGCACACACTCCTGCACTCCTATGATGGAAAGGAGTACCCTTAGAAGCATTGAGAATGCATTACACATAGTGTTCCCTCTCCAGCCTTTCACACTCAGTATGGGCAGAGAAAACACTTTTTCTTTCTGCAGGAGCTTTCAGCCTGTAAAAGACTCCCCATCATCAGCCATCAGCCCTGCTGAGGTTCCGGAGGTCTCCATTCCTGTGTGATTCCCAGGCTGTTGAGCAGGGAAGCAGCTCTTCAGCTTTGAGTGCAATTTGCTGTGTGCTTCTGAAGGATAGACTCATGCCCATGTCTGCTGCTCACACATGTCCTTTTCTCCTCAGCACCACACCTGGGGACACAGCACTGGAAGATGGCTGCACCCTCATATAAAGCTCGTGAACAGGTCCCTGGCAGGCTGCTCCCCTGTGGACCATATCCAGTTCAGGCTTTGTTCCTATAATTTCCTATAGGAAATTTATCAAAAACACCTCCAGTCTCACAGTTAATTTTTCTCCCCCTCAGTACTTGATGTAAATGTCTTTGCAGGTGGTTTACATGCATTTGCTCTTATTCCAACACAGTCTTTTAGCATAAATAATTCCCTTCTTTATTTAGAGTAAACACTCTGCTATATTTACAGATATTAATCATATTACTGTGTTTTGCTAGGTGCAGCACTTCCAGCTCTGCCAGTCTCACAACACAGGGCCCTCCATCCCTCCCCGGGCTCAGGAGGGATGTCTGGGGTGCTCTGTCTTCCCCTCTATTCCAGTGTGAATTCCTTTCCTAGCACTGAGATCAGTGCTAGGAAAGGTATTCCCAGTGCCCTGCATGATGCCCAGCTGCACTAGGAACACCTGAGCACCAGGGCAGGGAACCACAGGAGGGGTCCCCACCTCTCCCCATGCCAAGGGGAGGCCCTGGGCTGCAGCCTTGTGCAGGGGGAGCACCCACTCCATCCCTGGCTCCCACATGCTCTGCCATGGCCTCTTTCTGCCCTTGATGAGAAGGTTTTGCCTCCCAGTCCTGGTCCAGGCTCTCAGCAGTGACTGATTAGAAAGCAGCCCTGATTTGTTAGGCCGGGCAGCAGGACCCGGGTGGGCTCCCCTCCCCGGGTTAGCATCAGCATCCTCAGGCACGGTGACACCTACCTTCCGAGTGGTGCGAGAGGGTGAGCAGGCTGACGCAGGAGGCGCCGATGCCCGAGCCGAAGACGGTGATCCGCAGGGGATCTCCCCCGAAGAAGGCGATGTTCTCGCTGACCCAGCGCAGCGCCTGGATCTGGTCCAGCAGCCCGTAATTGCCCTTGGCAGCCTGGTCCCCCGTGCTCAGGAACCCTGAGGGCCAAGGGGAGCCCGGTTAGGGATGAGGAAACAAGCAAAGTCCTGATTTCCCACCCCTCTTCCCCAGACCTAGGGCAGCCTCTGTGGGACCCTATCCCACCATGAGAGCATGCTACCAAGAGAGTTTTGTGAGTTCTAAGCTGGAGCAGGAATACCACTGAGCTCCAGCCACCCTCTGCAGAGCACAGAGGGGTGAAAGGCTGAGCGAGCAGCTGCCAGCCTCGGGGAGCCTCTCTGGCCAAGGCCAACAACAAGCAGTGACAGGGTAAAGAGCACAAAGCTCTGTCCTACCCACCTAGCACCACCCGTGCTAGAACAGCTCAAGACATCTCACACAAGCTCCAAGGAAAGCTCAGAAAGCATCAGTGGCTGCAGGCAGGGCGAGTGTGAGCACAGCCAATGCTTTCCATGGACTAGCGTGGACTGGGGGAGGCTCTGTAAGTGTCAGGAGGTGGGCTGGGCAGAGAGGAACCGACTGCAGCTTTAAAATACAAGGGCTCTCAGCGAGGAAAAAGGCGAGAAATGCTTTCAATAGCACAGGAAACACCCAAGATAAGTTATCACTCTTTCGTTTGCTTTGACTTTAAGCAGGAAGCCAAAACCTGAGGGGCCCGAGGTAAAATCCAGGCAGGTAACCCCAACAGACAGGGAGGGGCCCCAGGGCTGTGCTGGCACTTGGAGGTGGTCTGGCTGGGTGTGGTGCACCACCTCAATGGAAATGATGAAGGCACCACTTAAGTCTAATGTCAGTATTGTGACTCATGTGTCTTATCTTTGCACCTATCCATTTTAGGACTTTTAACATTAAAAGGTTTCGAATAGGTTAACTGTCATCTTCCACATGAAACTATGGGCTCTGGAGGCCACTAGAAAAATGTGCTGCCCCAGGTACCAGGCAGGAGCCCAAGGGAGAGCACCATGCTAGGCTGGATGGCCAGGAAGAGAGCCAGCAGCTTAGCTTGGAAAGGAGCTGTGCCCAAACCTCTACACCCCGTGCTCTCATGCTGCCAAGGGAAGCAGCAGTGGTATTGCACACAAGCGTCCTGTGTCTCAGCTCCTGGGGGTTTCTGCTGCTTCAGGCAGGGGACTGCACCGCCTCTTGACCCTCTGTCCTCATTTTGCCTCTCTAAGTCACCAGTGCTTTTGGAAACAGGACTGCCACCCTCCTCTGCATGGACCTTCTGTGGTCCCCACTGCAGACAGCCACGTCACGGGGGGTTGCTGAGGGGGTCCCAGCAGAGCAATTGGCACAGGAGGCTGCCTGTGCCCGGGGAGGGAGAGCTGCCAGGTCCCCAGGACAGCCAGGCAGTACCCGCTGGCACCTCACCCGTCTGAGCCCTCTCAGGAAGAGATGCTGGGTAAACACATTTATTATTCATTTAACCACAAACCAATATTTGCTTTCAGTTTGTGTACATGAGCCAGGGGGGGCTGGTGCCAGGACCCAGCCTAGGCTGCGACCGTGTGCTGGGGGCTCTGCCACGTGGCACCCGCTCGGCTGGCAGGGCGGAGGGCAGGGGCAGTGCCCACAGCGCATCCCGCGGGCCCCACGCCCCCCTCCACCCCTTTTGGGCCGGTGCGAGCCCCGTCAGGCACAAGGGCTGTGCCAGTGCCTGTGCTGAGGGCACAGCCAGCTCATACCGAGCACTCCAACGCGGTAGTTCAGGGTGATGACAATCACGTTGCCATAGCTGGCCAGGATGCTGCCGTCTATCATGTTCCCCGTGCCCTCCATGTAGGAGCCACCATGGATGTAGACCATCACCGGCTTGGCCCCGCTGTCCCGGATGTCTGGAAGGAGAGGTGGTTAAACACGGCGCCGCACCGCTGGCCGCAGCACCCTGCCCCACAGGCAGACCGAGTAAAGGGCAATGCCAGCTGCCAGGACCAGGGAGGGGGCTTAGGAGCCAAAGCCAGAGCTCTCCTGGGGGCCACAGCATGGACCCCCAAAGCCAAACACCACTGAACCAACCCTGCCAGTCCCTCTCCAGGAGGTGGCAATTGCTGCACTGTCCCCACACTGCTGTCCCCTCAGGGGTCTGAGCATGTGAGGGAGGGATGCTGGCTGGACTCCGCTGCTCTTCCCCGGAGCTGGGCTCTGGCACGGTGTGGGAGCCAGATCAGGTCTGCTGTGGGTGGGAGTTGCAGAGTCCAGCCCCAGGATGCAGCCCCATGTCCTGTCTTTGGCTGGACCCAAGCGCTCCGTGAGTCCTGGAAGCTGGCATTGCGGAGGGGGGCAGGGATGGGGGTGTGCAGGACCTAGAAGGGGGGGCCACTGATGTGTGCTCCAGTGTCTTACTCTCCCACTCCCCCTTCCCATTCCCCTGGGAAGGCAGAGACCTGCCTGGCTGGGTGTAAACCCACGGCACCCCAGTGCCCAGACACAGACATGGTGATGAGGCAGACAGTGTATGCACGTGTGCGTGTCAGGGAGGTGAGCACGGCGTCTGGACGAGGACAGGGCATGAGGCATGGAGTGAGGATGGGCAATGGGACCCCGAGGGCCGGGGAGGAAGGACGGTGGGAGCCTAGGGGACAGGGAGCAGCCACACTCCCTCTCGACTTCTGTCCAGGGGACATCCTGCCCCTTCTGCCCCACTGGCTGCTGATCCCTGACGGAGCCATGGCCACCCCCAAGGGAATAACATCCTGGTGCATCCTGCCCATGTCACACAGACGAGGCAGTTGCACCCACCCTGGAGACATCGCCAGGTCCCACACGCCTGCGCTGCCCAGCCCTGTCCTGGGCTGGCGATCCAGACCGATGGACTTTGTCCTCCCTTGAGCTCACTCACGCCCAGCACCTTCCTCAGGTGGGCTGGCAGTGCCTGCTTGGCCTCAGCTGCCCCAGGCAGCTGCTGCTCCCTGCCTGCCTGCCTCAGCAGTGCAGCACAGCGTCCCACCAGGACTGGCACCCTTGGGGCACAGCCACACCAACGCCAGTGCCCAGCTGGGCTGCTCGTGCTCCCTCACACCCACCTAGCCCCTGCCATGTCCACTCCTCCCTGTGGCCTGCCCATTGCAGGGGCTGCAGGCCAGGCTGACGGGTATCTGTGGCCATTCTCACCTCCAGCTGTGGCCCACAGCATGGCTAAAGGTGGCCTCACATACAGAAAACCTCTTTCCTCCAGGAGAATGAGGCTATGCCAAACCCGAAACCTGTGCTGGCTCTTTTCCTATTTGTCCCATTTTCCAGAATGCAGCCAGACAAATGCACAGACCAGGGGAGCAAAAAGTGCTTGCAGCTCCTCCAGGACAGACATTGCCTGTGTGGAACAGCTACATCAGGACAATTTCTTCCAGGACCACCTGCTTGAAATGTGAGGGGCAGGAACATCAGTGCCTGTGCCGGTGTCTTCTCCTCCATCCTGCACCCACTCCCTGACATACAAAGGGCTCTCCTCACACCAGAATGCAACAATGTACAGGGATGTACCAGGAATGAAACAGCTCAGAGCTGCTGCAGCACATTTTGGTGTGTGTGGATTTAGCACAGTGGAGTCACTTAGGCTGAACGCCAGTTTACACCCTGGTACAAGAGATCATGGGGCACAGGTTAGCTGGAGTAAACAACAGGGTTTTAGTACTGCCAAGGAAAAATCATTTCATCTATTTCCCAGATCCTAAATGCCATCTGCCAGGCCTTGTTCGAGCTGCCCCGGGCCTTCTGCACACCATGAGGCTTTACTGTCCTCAGCACATTAGGGCTGTACCCTGGCCAACCCTTCCTCCTACCTCCTCATCACATCTCTGCAGCCAAACACGCTGACTCCATAACCTGCAGACAAACCACCCTGTTTTACTAAAAATAGCCTATTCTGCAGCTTGATTAGTCCTGGCATTCATCTAGAATCACATCTGCTTGAAAGGCCACTTGCTCTGTCTTGGCTGGTGCTTGCAAGCAAGACCTCACTCCCACTGGGTGAGGAAGGAGAGAAGTTAACAGAAACCAAGCGGACCCTGGGTCTCCTGTGCATGGCCAGATGCCCTTTGGGTATCAGGCAGTGCTCAGGCTGCTGGCACAGCCAGGGCAGGGCCAGGCAAGGGTGGATGGGGAGGTTGCTGGCTCCCAGATGCATGTCACTGACTCTGGAGGGATGAGGCTGGAGATGGGATGTGACCGGGCTCAGGGTGAAATGGGCCCAGGTGCCCGAGGGCTTCTCTCCTCCCAAGCTGCCATGCTTCCTCCCTGCCCTCGCTCCAAGTGAGCGGGAGCAAACTCCTCCTAAAGCGGAAAAACCCCATGAGCTGTCCCCGCCATCAGGAGGAGGGGAAGGTGCTGGGTGCCCTGCACAGCCGGCCAGCCTGCCCCCCGCCCCGCGCAGCTGCCTGGCACGGCAGACAGACACACACAGGGCTCCTGGGGTGGCAGCGGATGGCGGGCAAACGGAGCTGCTTTGCGTGTCATGCAGTGGCAGCCTCGAGCACAGAAATACCTTCGTCTTCATCACCGTCATTATCCGCTAAGTCCTCGCCCTGTTTCTTAGCGCTGGCTCCTGGGGACCAAACACGAGGAGACAGAACAAAAAGGAAAACAAAAGGAAATAAAAAGAAAACAACAACAACAACCAAAAAAAAAAAAAAAAAAAGAAAGAAAGAAATAAAAAAAGAAAAAAAAAGAACAAAAAAAAAAAAAGAGAATTCAAAAATAGCATGACAGCAGAGACAGTGGGGCCACGCCTGTGCCCCACAGCACTGCTGGCTACTCACACTGCACCTCTCCCAGAGCCAGGGCAGTGCTGGGCACGGGCAGGGCTGCCCCAGGAGTGTGCCAGGATGCTGCTTCACCCGGGCCCCTTCCCAGATCCTCCCCGGGGAGGGCTGGGGTGGCAGGGAAGACGCGAGTGGGGCTGTGACAGCATCAGCGCTGGTGGTGGATGAGTCTCAAAGCACCTGCTGATCCTCCTGCATCCCAGCCTGGCCCCCACCTGGTCATGCACCCTCAGCTCCAGGCAAGGCTCCCTCTCCTAGCACCCAGCTCTGCTGCCCCTGGGGACAACTGTCCTCTGCAGAGCTCACACCAAGGGTTGCCTTGCATGGCCACTGACCACCGGGCAGTTCCTGCCCATCACCCCCCATGGTATGTGGCTCCTTGTTGTGCCTGGCCACAAACCACTGGTACCACTGCATGAGACCACCACAGCACGCAGGGATCCCCCATGACAGCTGCTCCCCTGAGCTGCCTGGCTCCATCCTGCCCAACTCCCTCCTTACAAGACATGTTCCGTGTTTCACTGAGGATTTCAAAGGTAGCAATCAGCTTGACCTGACCAAGGCAGAATCCTAAACATATTCATTTCTGTACCATCCTGAATGCCTTACAGATGTTCTGTGACCCTTCACCAACCTGCAGTGCTGGGGCATGGGCCAGCCCAGCAGCCCCATGTGGATTGCTGTTGTGGATGGCTTGCAGTGAGCCTGGCACTCCCCACACTGCAGCCAGCAGGAGCCAGGAGAGGTGGCCTGTGGGCTGGCAGGGAGCAGGGGTGCTGAAAAACCTGGGCCAAAACCCCACTCCTGCAAAGGACTGCATGCCAGTGTAGACACAAAGGCAAGTGGTGCTCTGGAGCTCTGAATTTCAGGAAGAGGCTGGGTGTTCTCATCCTCTTAGAGCTGCAGACCAATGCCTGCAAGTCCTCTGCTCCCTAACGCCTGCTACAAAAAGCTCCCAGGTGATGGTGAGCTCTGAGGAGACAGCAGGGTTTCCCCCAGGCAGGACTTATCCACACAGTGCCTGCACTGCCCAGCGATTTCCCCTGAGACAAGGGGCTCTGACACCCTGCCAGGCACCTGGCTGACCCCAGGGTCCTGCTGCCACCACCAACAGCTCCCATTGTCACAGCAAGGGCTTTCACAGCCCCCAGCAAAGCTCCCACCAGCAAGGGGCAAGCCTGTGGCTGCATGGAACTACTGGACTAAATGCAGAAAACTGGTCAAAAAGACAAAACTGGGGAGCCCTGCTCAGTCAGTCTGGGAGTGGCATTCTGCAGGTGACACGGGAGGTGGATAATGGAGATGGCAGCATGGAGTGGGACAGGATTTGAATTTACAAGGAATCTGTGATGGGGTAGGAAGAGATCTGAAATGGCTGTGAGGCAGTTCCATCAGGGTGAGAGGCTTGTAGAATGCCCTAAGCAGCCATGACCTGCTGGAGAAAGTCTGGAGGAGCAGCAACCAGAAACCTGGAAAAATCCAGCAGGCATGAAAAGTTTGCAGAAGGCTGGGTCACATGAATGCTGGGAGCAGAGGCATGATGGGAGCTGCAGCAGCATCCCAACACATGGAAGACTACTGTGAGGTGGTGAGGTGGAACAGCAAGTCCCTCTCAGGCAGCCCTGGGGCTACAGGAGGCAGGATGAGAAGAAAACCTTTCTGGCAGAAAAGGCAGTGAAGCACTGGAAGAGGCAGCCTGGGGAGGTGTTTGAGACCAGGTGGGACACACTGCCACAAAGAGGTGAGGCAGAGCTGCTCCTGCAAGGGCAGGGATGGATCAGCTGTCTCACGTGCTGTTCTGATTTTCCCCACCATGCTCCAACCCCACCCCTTCACCTCCTGCTTCACCACCCAGCCATCCTCTGAGCATCTCACATCGTTCTCCTCTTTCCACCCAGCACCACCCCCATCCCTGTCATCTCCTGCCCCAGCACCTCAGCCCCAGCATCTCCACCTTCCTGCTGCATCCTTCCCACACTGCCTGCCCAGCCCACCCCCAGCCACACACTTGGCTGGGCATGTGCAGCCACTCAGCCTCTTTGCAGGAGGCTGCAAGCTTGACCTACTGTGTCTTCATTAGGAAGAGCTGCAAGCCCAGAAAGCACTTAAATGACAAAGTACTCATGCAGTATTTGCTAACCAGTGCTATGCACCAACCTCTTGGTACTTCTAAGGGATAGGGATTTTTCTCTAATGAAGACCACAGCCAGTGATGTGATCCACACTGTCCTTCAGAGTTGAGAAGCTGACCACAGGCAGCTGGAGATCATTTTCCACTGCCAAAGGCCCTGGTGCTGTTAAAGCCCTGGGACTGGCCAGGCTGCAGCCCTCCAGCCCGGTCTCCTTCAGGGACAAAAGTCTCTGTGCAGATGAGAATGGAGGAATCACCTATGAGGACTTGTCAGGTTGTAAAAGAGGGCAGTGGACAACATCTCTGTGACCTGAGCAACTGTCCTAGCTGAGCAGGGAGGGATCCAGCTGGAGACTGCTGCTGCAGTGCTTAGGGATGGCTGGGACAAGCCTCCAGCAACCTGAGCTTCAGGCACTGTGGAAGAGACGGCAGAAAGCAGCACTTGGGAAGCTAAGCAAAGCAGGAGAGCAGTGATGCAGGCCAGGGGAAGGAGAACAGCAGTGGCATGTGTGTGTGGCAGATGCAAAGCACAAGCCTCACCCACCAGCAGGAAGGTGCCAGGGTGGTTATGGCCAACACCGACTGTTGTGACCAAGGGGGCTTTTTGCCCCCTTTTTGCTGCAGTGTTCACCTCCAGCACAACCCACCAATGCCCCACAGCTCATGAGAGCAATCATAGCTTCACTTCCCTCACCCAGGAACACTTTCCACTGGCTCTTGCCATGTTCAGGGATACCCAGCCCAGGAGATCTTCCTCTGCTCTAACAAACATCACCACGCAGAGCCCTGCAGCAGCACCCACTCTCATGAGGATGGGTTTAAGCCTATGGACTTGCAGCTGGAAAAACTAAAAGGGCTCATGGCTCTTATTCTCCTTACCCATCAAAAACACCTTCCACTAACCCAGGAGGTGAATGTCTGTTGTCTGCCACTTCACTTTAAGCAGACTGCAAAGTGACATTGTTCAGGCCGATAGGAAGGATGCATACGCTCTTATCTGAACCACTAGGAAGATTTAGGTTCAACTTTAGTTTAAAAAAAAAAAAAAAATCACTTTGCCTGAAACAGGGGCATCCATGCTGAATTTATTCTACCTTAAGTAAACCATACCAACAGCACTGACACCAGTGCAAATAGAGATAAAGCAGGGTAAGGAGCCTCAGTTCTTGAGCCTCCATTCTCAGCATGGTGTGGATAAGAGAAGAGCAGGAGCCTGAGATGACACCTTTCCAGTTCCAAAAGTCTGTTCAGGGCACCCATAGGCAGCTCCAGCACCCTCTCTTCAGTGGGAGCTCCCTGGGGCACCCACTCCTGCAAAGCAGCCAGGATGCTGAGGCTCTCAGGGAGCAGAGCCTCTGATGAATACATGCACCCAAAGGGACACCTGCTGCCAGCCACAGCATCTCAGCTGCCTCTCTGGGAGTGACAAGGGACAGGGCCAAGAACGGTGCAGCTGTTGAACCTGCTGCTGCACAGCCCCACAGGCAGGGACAGCTCAGCTGGGACCTGTGTCTGAGAGCCTTCCCAGCCACCAGCCCTCGCTCCGGGACTGCAGCACACCCCGGTGCTGCCCTGCCCCTCCCTGCCCGGAATGATGCAGAGGAGTTATCGAGTTATCTCCATCCCTGAGCGGCCTCTATAAAAGCACTGCATCTGCTCACGCTCTGCTGCCCCCGGCAGCACAAACACCGACCCTCACCTTTGCAGATCGCTCCCCGGAGTGGAAGCGGAGCACCAGGGCGGTGGTCTGCCCACGGCCAGCTCTGCAAAGCAGCAGGCTTCGAGGGGGCTGGGAAGAAGCTTCCAGCAAGGGAAGCACTGCAGAATTCGTGCAGCTGTAGGGAAGCCTCAGCTGGTACTTGGACAAGTCAGCTTCTTAGAGAGCAGCGGAAAAGCTGCCCAAGAGCTTCCTGAGCCCAGGAGCTGCTGGGAGCTCCAGCCACCCTCACACAGCAGAGGAAGATGCTGGACCTGCACATTTGTCTCTGCAATGTCACAGACTCTTCGCAGTCCCAGCCAGAGAGATTTGGGCATTTGCTAATGAAAACCAGGAAGAGCTGCTAAGTGCAGGGCAACCACATTTTTCCCCTCCAAAAATGACATCCACCTCCTCATGCCCTGCAGCAAGGATTGCCCAGACTGGTGAGGAAGGGAAGGAAAAATCATCTTGGCATCTACCACAGCCAAAAAAAGGCTGGAAGTGTTGGCAGCACAAAGCATGGGGCAGAGCTGCATTTTGCACATAGGTACTGTCCTCCCAGGGTGTGTGTCTGTGTGCGTACATGGTCTTTGGGTGGGCAGCACTATTTCTGCAGCAAAATCTGAGCCTCAAATGAGCCTCAGTGCTGTCAGCTCCCCTGGCACCATGCATGGCTAGCTGCTCTCAAAGCACTGCTGCCCTGTATTGCTACCAGAGAAGGGACCAATGTGTATGGAGGAGACTGGCATTTAGAAAATTTCCATATAGGAAATGACTGTGGACAACTGGGCAAGGAAACAGGGATGTTTTTCTGTCCCAGAGATAAACAAGCATGACTGATAAATTCTCAGTCCTTTGTCTGCTCTGAAATACACAGAGCTTAGGGGTGGCAGTCATGAAAACTCCAGTAAGTAGGGAGCTGAGGCATTTTCAACCACCAAATACAGTTCTGTGAGAGGAGAGCTTATCACTGCTCGTCTGTGGCCTTAGAAATAGTAATCATGATTATTCCAGAATGAGTCAATGTTCAACCTGAGGAAATCAGCACTGCAGGTACATTACCCTCTCCCCAAGCATTACTAACCTAGGATACACAATGAGGAGTGTGGGAGCTTCTGTGTTTCATCACAAGTGACTCAATTAATTCAAGCCAACAGCTACCAGAGCCTGGCCAGAGCAGGAGGCAAGTGCCAGTGTCTGGGTGCTTTAATTCTTGGCACGCCACACCTGGATGTCCACATGGCTGGCACTGGGCATCTGCTGGTCCATGAGTCAACAGAGGCCAGTGGGGGCAAAGGGAATGTCCCCCACCAGCTCCCTGGGAGGTGACCAGAGGCAACGCAGACGGGCTGCAAAGAAACCCTGCCCGTGAGCAGAGCCAGCAGGGAGGGACACCCAGGAGATGAGCACACCCAAGGTGTTTTGTCATGCCTGATGTCATCCCCTTCTCTGCAGTAACCTGGAGGCTGCTTCCCTGGCCCTGGCTGTAGGGCTGGGGGTGGCGGGGGTCTGCCAGCCCTGGCAGCCGGTGGGAGGGCCGGGAGAGGAAGCGCTTTGAAGTGGCTGGTGATCACTGGCACAGCCGGCTCCGGAGGCAGCGTGCAGAGACTCCCTAATGCGCCAGCCCTTTCAGGGGCAGCCTTGGCACTCAGAGAGATGGCGTGTGAATAGCCAGGACAGCAACAGGAAAAGCAAAGCAAAGAAACCAAACAACAGAACTGGGGGAAACGGCTGGAAGGAAAGCGCTCCCCAAACCTCCAAGCCCAGCTGCACTGGCCCCGCCAAACCCAGGGGTGCAGGGAGACAGAGGCTGGGATGCAGGGATGCTGCTGCTGCAGGACGCCCAGGACAGCAGCCTGTGCCGGGCAGGCACCCTGTACTGAGCCTTTCAGAAGAGCTTGGCTGCCTGACCGTCCACACGTTCATCTTGGGATGCACAGAGCAGTCAGCTCTCCCTGCCTGCACGGGGCTGTGTGGAGGGATGGGTGAGGCATTGTCTGACACGGGCCCAGCCAGCTACCATTTGTACACGTCTACTCCCTTGTGCATGTCACTGGTTGGGAACACAGGATCATTTAGGGGCAATGGGGGAAGGTCAGTGGAGGCAAGGCAAAGCAGACATGTGTCTGAACTGGAGGTGCTCGGCTGCCCATGGGGCAGCTAGGGCTCAGGGAGGCTGCTGTGCCATGGGCTGGAGACCAAATCCTTACTGGCAGGACTGGCACTGGCATGGGGGTGTGACCAATGGGGAGCAGCCTTGGCAGGCACAAAGCTCAGGGCAGAATCTGCAGCATTTACACAGCCAGAAGAGGCTTTATGCTTTTAACCAAGGAGCTCTGGATGCAAAATGATCAGGGATGCAATGGGGGAAAAGCTCAGCCCAGGATGGACTGCAGTCCCCCATCACATAGGTCCTCCCCTGAGCAGGTCCAGACACCCCCCAGCGGGGTAACCCAGCCTAAGGGATGGATGCATTTCAGTGCTACCTGCCATCAGAGGCTACCCCTCATGCCCAGGAGGCTGTCAATGCCAGTGGGATGAAGGTGGGAGTGCAGGCTCAGCCCAGGAGAAGCTGTTCTGAAAGGCCTGGAGCAACATGAGCATCCTCATGACCTGACCCCAGAGCTGTGCTCCCAGCTGGCCGGAGCATCCGTGGGGCTCCTCCCAGGGGGAAGCAGGGGGTGGCAGGGTGGGCTGCTTGGAGGGTCCACAGTCCGGGTGGCAGCACAGAGAGGTGCTGGAGGAGTGCTGCAGGCCAGGGGCCAGCCAGGCACCCTCTCACTCTCTCACTCTCTCTCTCTTTCCTCTCTGTGCCTCTCTGCCGGTCGGCTTGCTACATACCTCCTTTCCTACATATTTTCTTGTTGGGCTTTCGGGTGCATTCCTTGGAAATCCGTTTTACTGTAAAATGAATAAAAGACTACAAAATAACAGGAGGCTCCACTGATGGGAGTGGGCATGCAATCACAACCACGCTGCTACCCTCCCACCGCCCCCGGGACCGCGGGAGGTGGGGAGGGAGCGTCGCCATGGGAGGAAAACTCTGGGCCAGCCGTGCTGGGCGAGAAGGAAGGCATGATGCATTCCGTGGGCCCCAGAGACAGAGGAGTGGAGCCAGGCAGCCTGGGAGAAGCCACTGACCCGCCAGGCTGCTCTGCTGTGTGCAGCAGACCCGCTGCGGGTCCTTTCCGGCCCGCTGAAAATCCCTGGGGGCTCCTGTTGCGGTGAGGCTGGGGCGGGCGTGCGGGCAGGCGCTGCCTCCTCTGCCCTCTACTTACAGTTCAGGTGGGGTCCCCTACAAAGGAAAAGGTTAGACGAGGAGGCACCCAGCGCCGCTCAGCCTCACCCCAACAGGACCGTGCCCCGTGCGTCCCCAGCACGCCAGGCTCATCGCTCTGCCGCTGTCCCTCCGGCGGACGGAGGAGCAGCCAAGCGATGTGTCTGCCGGTGCACCCCAACCTCCCATCCGTACCAGGGCCCAGAAAAGGGCTCTGTGGTCCCTTTCTTGCCGGAGCATCTTCCCAGGGAGAGGCAGAGAGTGTTCCTCCCAGCCGCAGCCCACGCCCACAACTAGCGCATGGACCTGGGGAGGGTGGGAAGCAGGGAGGAAGGACGAACTCGAACCAACTCAAGACAGAACCTGGCACTCGGCGCCTGTGGGGAGCACAAATCAGCTTGTCACTCTGTGGATCTGCGGTCAGAGAGTCGGATTCAGATTTAGCAATACAAGAGAGGAACCCGTGAAGATGCCATGGAGGTGGAGGGGTGGGACCGGGAGGCGTGGAGGAGCAGGAGCACGCGAGACAGAGATGGCAGCTGAGGGCAAGAGGGCAAGCTGCGTGGCCAGAGAAAGCTTTCCACAGACAGACAGCATGCTGCAGGGTCCACAACCACATGCTTCAAACACAACACCCAGGTGAGACCAACCACTGCTGGGGAGGGGTGGAGTGACCCCCCCCTCGCTCTCCTGTGGTCACCCCAGTGGGGACTCACCATCCTCCGTGGGGATGTAGATGTTGAGGTACAGACAGTCCTCGTTGGGGTCCTGGATGTACGTGGCCACGATATCCAAATTGGAGGTAAACCAGATGGGCAGCATGATCTCAGGAACGGCGTTGTGGATGTTCTGGGGGCAGACTGGTGAGAAGTGGGTAGCGTTCCTGATGCCCGACCAGGATGGTGGTGGCTCGGGGGGCATGAATCTCTTCTCCCCGACGGGGGGAGCGGCATAAGGAACCCCCAGGTACTGGTCCACGGGCCCCAGGATCTCACTGGGCAACGGCACGCGCACCCCTCGTAACTTCCCATAGTGCGTGTTGACAGTGGGCGAGTAGACCTGGCCCTCCATCTGCACAACCATCGAGGCAAAGCTCAGGACCCAGAGGGTGAGACGCAGGTCCCAGCTGGCCACCAGCTCAGGCACTTGGAGAACAGGGGGGAAGAGAGGGCTTCTCCAGAGTATCAGCCACATTGTCTGGGAGAAACAGCACCAACATCCAGGCCTGAAGCTCCTGGGGCGAAGTCTCAGAGCAGCCCCATCACACCAAGCCTCCGATTTGCCCACCAGGAACAGACGGAGCTGAAGAGATAGGAGGCAGGGGTGTGCAGCCCAGCCACACCTTCTGCTGGGTGAGTCGGGACGCAGGGAGATGTGGCACCAGCTCCTCACAGCCTCCCAGCTGCCTGCTGCTGCCTGCCTGCCAGCGGCCCAGCCCGGAGGTGACTGCTGATACTGTGGAGAGATGGAGGGAATTAACAGCAGACTTGCTCTGGAAGAGTTGAAGACCTGCAGTGCAGAAGGAGCCAGGATCTCTGGCTGAGCCTCCCACCCATGGGTGCTCGTTGGCTCTGCCACCAGCCGGGCAGGTGGCTCTGGGAGCAGGCAAAAGCGGGCAGAACAAGCAGAGCATGTGCGGACACACACACTGTCTGCCCATGCCTGCAGAGCCTGTCCCAGTGCTCAGGGGCTGCCCAGGGTATGGGTGCCAGGATAAGCAGATAAATGCTGCGTCCCTCCCCATAAGGAGCCCGTTGGACACCACTGGTGCCAAGCACAGCCCTTGCACAAGACCCACTGGCACCTCTCCTCTCCTGGCTGAGCCCGAGCTGCCTGTGCTCCGTGCCTGGGCTTCAGCACAGCACTGCTCCCCTGTTCGGGGCAGCATACACCGGCAAACTGGACGCACACGTCCTAGCCAGGCACCCATCTCGCCCACCAGCACGGTCCCCATCAGCTTTCCCCTCCGCCTGCCAAAGCAGGGAGACCGCAGGCAGGACCCGGCTCCCTCCCATCCGCTGCCCGCCCCGGCGAGCCCGGGGGCAGAACTGCGCTCCCTCGTCCCGCCCGGGCTGGCAGCAGCAGGAGCAGCAGCTGCGGCAGCCCCGCGGGGAAGGGAGGGCACGGCGCACGGGGAGCCGCGGATGTGTCAGCGAGCAGAGCTCCTGCGCCAGGCGGCCCTCGCTGGAGGCTGTGCATCCTCAGCGCTCTGCCCTTCACCTTCCAGCACCGCCTGGCGCATTCAGGGCTTATGTAAGTGCCCCCTGCCCGGGCTCCCCCCGCCGGCCCCGCTGCTCCCGGGGGAGCCGGGCACCGGGAGCCGCGGGGCCGCACCCGCCCGGTGCTCCCCCGCCCCGGCCGGGCCAGCGCAGCGGCAGCCGCCGGCTCCGCTCCTCGGCGGGCGGATCGTCAGCCGGGTCCCCGCGGAAAGGCGGTGGTGGCTCGGGGGATGCTCACTCGTCCTGTCTCAGCCACACGTCCCCACCGTGGGAGAGGCGGCAGCCGTGGTGAGGCACCTCCGCTTTGCCCCAGGGCATCCTGACATGCCCACCCGGCAGATCTCTCCCAGGCTCAGAGGGGAGCAGAGTTGCCTAGAAATTATTGGAGCACAAAATAAGGGCTGTATGCAGATGGGAGTTTGCAGCTCTGGTGGAGGTTCAGTTGGGCAGGGATTCCACAAATAGAGAACACCTCATCCAATGAGGAAAATCCGCAGGAAAAAAACCCCACCATCACCAAAAAAAACCCACAAAAAACCCCAAAAAACCCCAAATCTCCCTGACAAACAGAAACCTTCAAAAAACCCCACCCAAACAAAACACAACCAAAAACCCCCACAGAAGGTGTCTCAAATCTGTACTGCACATGTGCAGGCAACTCACTGCTGGTCATTAAGGGAATGGGCCCATGCTGTGCCTGCCCTCCTGATACACCCAAAGAACTTGGCAGCCTCAGAAATCAGGGTAACACAGTAAATAGAAACACTCATCTCAGAAAATCATGTTACTGCATTCAGCCCACCCAAGCAGCAAGGCCTCTCAGGGCTGGGCATGCAGGCACCTCTCCAGAGCCTGCCAAGGGAATGCAGGTAATGCCAGACAAGGAGGGCAGTACATCTCTGCACATCACTCCCCTTCACCTCCTCCTGCCCCACCAGGCAGCCACAGAAACACACCAGCAGGAGCACGACACTGCTGCGTTATCCCCCAAACAGATGCCAAAGCCTAAGAAATAAAAGCTGAGTCAAGGGCCAGAAAAACAGCTGAGGCACCCCAAGCTCAGTTCTGCCCAGCACTGCTGGAGCTGCTCTGCAGCACAGTGCCTTGGCTGCCCTGTTCTGCCTGCAGCTCTGGAAGAAAACCATCATTCATCTCACATTCCTTGCTGCAAGGCTCCTCCTTCAGCAGAGAACTGACCTTTGCCCAACAGCGACATCCCAGGGGTGTAGTGCTGGCCTGGGACCCCCCAAAACTGCGTTCCCAAGCAGGATCTCAGAGGTGCTTCAGACCCATCACTGTGCCTGACGTTGCTGGAAGGCAAACTGCCCAGTGTAAATCTTCTGCTTAGGTTCCTTCAGGTACCACAGGTTAGAATAAAACTAATTATTAATGATTGTCATATCTAATTTGTACGACTGGAAGCTACAGGCAGCTTCCAGTCTTTATGATAGTGCATCCAGTGCTCCCTGCAGAGCCATTTCAACTGATCTGTCATCATTTTCTGTCTGCAGGAGCACCACAGCCCTGCCAGGGGCTGATTTCCCAGCTCCAGAGCTTCCTCATGGCTGCAGCCACACGCTGCCATGGGCACTGCTGCTCCACAACTCCTCCAGGAAAGCGATTTCACGGCACCAGGCAGTGCCACCACACAGCTGCCCAGCTGGGCTGTGCACACCAGTCACAGGGCTGAATTCACAACCCACTTTGCACCCCTGGAGCCTCCGCACGCCCACTGCAACCATCCTGTCCTGACACAATGAGGAACCTCTTTTTACAAAGCACAGCCAAAAAACTGCTTCTTGCTACAGCTCCTCAGAATTATGCTATGATGATATTCCTCTGGGTTTTTGTTTAATCCTCATCCATATCTGAAAAAACAAGGGAATCTGAAGATAAAAAAAAACCCCTAAGCTAAGATAGAATTAAGTTCACATTCTTAACTTAAACAAAATGATGCTACGGGACTTGAAACTGTCCCCAGTTACGAGCTTTACAAAGCATGAGGCACAGAGGTGAGTTGCAAAAGTGATAGCCAAATATGTCCAGATATGGAGATGCACAGTCAAGGCCCAGCAGCCCTAATGTTACTCTGGAGAGCCACAAAGCCTTAACACTCAAACACAGCTCATGGTATTTTAACATTTGTAATTCCACATTTGGTTCCATCATTTTTTAAAGACTCTTTGCCTCCATCTGCACATGTCCCTGCAGCAGAGAATAAAGGCACCCAAACAATCTCAGTGACATGCTTCTAAGCCTTCCTATGTTTGGATTTTTTTTCAATTACAAACCCAAAAGACGATGCAAACCCTACATCTGAAATTCCCTGGGTTTCAAATGCCTGATTTGGGACAATTACAATACCCCTGTAACACATCTGATACCATCATATTGCTGTTCTGTGCTCTGTGCTTTCTGATGTAACTTCATGTTAACATAACATTTAGGATGGGAATTTAGCCTTAATTTAATGCTGACAGAGTGCCATAAAAACCCAAGCTTAATCCCTTCCACTGTGGGTTGCTGCATGTGCCTTGCATTGCTGCCTGCTGCCTCAACAGCTCTTAAGCTTCTTGGTCTTTCAAAGCATGAGAAAGAACTGAGAGACCAGAGAAAGGACATTTCGTTCAGGGAAGCAATTCCCTTCACATCCCATGGGAGGTGGGAGCAAAACTTTCCCAGTTTTGCCGCCTACAGCGCTCTCACTGCTGCCTCCAGCAGGGAAGCCAAACGTGTCCCCAGCGAAGATGGGCTGCTGCCTGCCAGGAGCTGTGCCTGCCAGCCAGAAAGGAAACCGGGCTGGGCAGACACAGCCAAACTGGGAATGCTCACAAGCACGCAGGGAGAAACTGGGAGCACAAAGACACCGCAGGCATCCCAGGTCGCTCTGCCAGGCCGCTGGTGGGTGAGCAGAGGAAGTGAGGCTGCTAGCTGCTGGGGATGTTATTCATGTGCTTTGCAAAACAAATGCTCTATAGGTATTTCCACGGCCACACTGTCTGCCAGACGCTTCCTCCTCAACAAAGAGACGCTCTCCATGGAAACCTGGGCGGGTGGGATCCTCTGGAAGCCTCTCTGGCAGATGCATATTCAGGCATCTCGACACCAGCCAGACAAGCCGGATCCACACCTCCCCTGGCAGGCGGCCGAGGAGATGCCAGCAGCCAGCCTGCTCTCGTATTGGACCCTTCACGGGGCCCAGCCTCCTGCCCTGGAGCACCAAGCCCCAGCTCATCACACTCATGCTGTGGCTCTGTGTCCCATGAGGTTCAGAGCCAGGACAGATGGAGACCTCAAAGCACCCAGCTGGCACGGATGGATGATCTCCTTCCAACAGCGAGCAGACAGGATGTCCCACTGCACCTTCCAGCCACTGTGCCCTGTGCAGCTCTGCTCTCCATCTGACCCTGCTGTACTTTGCTGGGGGCCAGCCCGTGCACCCCAGAACAAACATGCACCCAGCAAGCAGCATGAGAAACTTCTGCCTTCTCTTCTCCATCTGAGCTCCAAACCTTTCCAGCAGCCTGTGCTCCAGAGCTCAGGCTGGTGCTCAGCTCTGCAGCTCAGCACCTGCCAGACCCACTCCCCACCTGGCATCTTCTCTGCTGGGCAGTAATCCCAGCCCCCATCCAGCCTACAACACTGCAGAAAGCCCACAGGAAGCCCTGGGGAGCAGAGAAGCTGCAGCACAGCTGGACCTGTGTCCCAGCAGTCCTCCAAGAGCATCCCAAAGCCTGCAGGTCTCATCCCAGGTTACCCCTCCAGGCCACAGGCAGACATTTCCTGGTCCCACAGCACTGTGGGGCATTTCCCAAGTCCATCACAGAGCTGGTGAACAGTGATGGATGGCTCAGTTACACTGAAAGGGACATGTAGGGTTTCAGAAAGGTCTGCCCTGCCCTGCTGTTGCTCTGCTTTTCCATGAATGACCTAAATGACAGAACAGAGTATGTTTCAAAACCTGCACGTGACACCCCAGCACTTCAGAGGCCAGGATGGGAGTTGGAATGCTCCTGACAGACTGGGAAAAGGGCTGAGAGACGATGGGCAGGACTGTAAGGCACTGGGAGGCAAAAAAACTGCACAAAGTGGCCACAGAAGAAGAGACAGCAGCAGTTCTGCCACAAGGGTCATGAGGGCTACAGGTGAGTACAAACTGAACGTGAGCCAGCATATCATTGCCACAAAAAAGGCAACTACA